CCACAAAACCAAGCCATAACACCTCACTGCTGCTGGGGCTGGCAACTCCGGGGGATGAGGCAGTTCAGGAGATTTGGAGGTCAGGGGGGAGTCTCTGGGTGTGATGCCTCCTTGGGACTGGCCCGCCCCTTCCTCCCTGTCCACCCCAGGGCTGATCTGAGCCAAGAAACCACTCTCTTCGGGGGCAAACCCCTGGGGAGTGAAATGACATCATAGAATCATAGAATGTTATACCTGGAAGGGTCCTTGCAGGTCATCTAGTCCAACTCCCGGCACTCTGCAGGAGCACAGCCGAAAGAGAGCCCTACATACCTACAACAGACCCGAAAGAGGGTCATCCACAGCCTCCGCTTGAAAATGTCCAGCGAAGGAGCCTCCACCACCTCCGAGGCAGACTGTTCCACTGCTCAACCACTCTTACAGTTAGGAAGTTTCTCCTGATATTTAGCTGGTAACGACTCCCTTGTAATTTCCACCCATCAGATCTAATCTTGCAGTCCGGAGCAAGAGAGAATAGATCTGCTCCATCTTCTACATGACAGCCCTTCAGATACTTGAAGACGGCAATCATGTCCCCTCTAAGCCTTCTCTTTCCCAGGCCAAACAGACCCAACTCTTTCAGCCTTTCCTCGTAAGACTTGGATTCCAGCCCTCTCACCATCCTGGTCGCCCTCTTCTGGACACGCTCGAGCTTGTCAACATCCTTCCTAAAATGTGGTGCCGAAAACTGGACACAAAGCCTTCTCTTTCCCAGGCTAAACAAACCCAACTCTTTCAGCCTTTCCTCGAAAGACTTGGATTCCAGCCCTCTCACCATCCTGGTCGCCCTCTTCTGGACACGCTCGAGCTTGTCAACATCCTTCCTAAAATGTGGTGCCGAAAACTGGACACAGGACTCCAGGTGGGGCCGGACCATAGCAGAACAGAGCGGAACGACCACCTCCCGTGATCTGGACACAATGCTTCTGTTAATGCATCCCAAGACTGCATTCGCTTTCTTCGCAGCCACATCACACTGCAGGCTCATGTTTCGCTTGTGATCAACCAGAATCTGGGCCAATAGCATCCCTGGCTGTAGGGTTAGCAGCCCCACACAGCCACCGGTGGGGTAGGGCTGCCGGATCCAGGTTGGGAAACTCCTGCAGATTTTGGGGGTGGGGTTTGGGGAGGGGAGGGACCTCAGTATAAGGCCATAGAGTCCACCCTCCGAAGCAGCCAATTTCTCTGGGGCAACTGATCTCTGCATTCTGGAGAGGAGTTGTAGTTCCGGGGGATCCCCAGGTCCCCCCTGGAGGCTGGCCTCCCTACCCTGGCTTCTGTCCCCACCCTTTTCTCCTCCCTCAACCCTTCCACTTACCTACGGTCTCTTCGGCTGCTTCAGCGGCCATGGAATTTTGCTGCGTTCTGTGGGAACTCGGGAAAGAACCATCGCCCCAATCGATAGAACCGAAGTGGTTTTATTTGTGAAAATGCCTTCTAGGAAGCAGTTTGGGGCTCAGAATAGACAACGAAAAGCACAGCGACAGGCCCAGAGGCAGGAAAAGGCAGGGAGGATGCAGAAGTCCCTCCAGCCGTCTTGAAGCAGCGGGAATGTGAATGTGGAAGTGCTCAAAGGAGAGAGCGGGAAAGATCCGGTTTCTATGAACGAAGCCGACGGTGAAAGCTTGGCTTCTGGTTAGAAAAGTACTACAGATGGAACAAGGCACCACACCTAGCAGCTGAGGAGGGACGGTGCGATATATTCTAAATATATAAATACACTCCTGAACGCTTGTGCTGCTTCTTACCATGGGGCCTAACCCCTACGTCTAGGGTTGCCAAACCCCAGGCGATGGCTGGAGGTCTCCCAGAACTACGATATCCAGGCAAGATTTCAGTTCACCTGGAGAAAATAGCCGCTTTGGAAGAAGAAGAAGAGATTGGATTTATACCCCACCCTTCACTGCCCAAAGGAGTCTCAGAGTGGCTTATGATCTTCTTTCCCTTCCCCTCTCCCCACAACAGACACCCCGTGAGGTAGGTGGGCCACAGAGAGCTTTCAAGGACTGCTCTTGAGAGAACAGCTCCGAGAGAACTTGTGACTGACCCAAGGTCACACCAGCAGCTGCATGTGGAGGAGGAGTGGGGAATCAAACCCGGTTCGCCCGGATTCTCTCCACTCCCCAAACTCTGCCCTCCCTAGGCTCCACCCCCCAAATCTCCAGAGTTTCAAGGACAGCTCTTGTCAGAACTAGACTTGCCCAAGGTCATCCAGTTTTAATGTTCTACTTGTTAACATGTGGCTTGGGCGGGGGGGGGAGGTATCTGACATGAATTTTGCATACACGGTGAACAGCAGATTAAATGCTGCGGCTGTAATCAAAATTTCATCACTGAAAACAAGGACACGGATTACTTCAAAGCCAGGACTGCTGCCATAGTAACCCCCGGCACTCCCCCGCCGCATATGGCTGAAAGCTTTCCTTCGCCTGCCATTTGTTAAGCCGACCCGAAAAAACAACCAACCAACAAAAATCCCGGAATGCTGAATCTCACAATGGATCCAGTCGCTCTTGCTGTGGAATATCCATCCACCAAACCCATTCAGTAATCTTCAGGATCTGGACAAGGAGTTGTAGGGCAGAGGAGGAGGGAGCGAGAACCAGCATTTTGTGGCCGTCTGCATGTGTTTACATATGTGTGCTCCAGGTTCAAGATGCTGCCTAGGCCTGTAGCCAGGATTTTGTGGTTTGTGGTGCAATTTTTTTTTCTCATGGGGCTGAAGTTCTCACAGCAGAAAGGAAAGCCAGAATTCTGATAACAAGCTGGCAGGTGGGGGTGATGACTTCGATAGTCAAGAAAGTGAACACTTAGGCAGGAAAACACTCTTAATGGACACCAGTTCCTTGACACAGAGTTAGAAGGGGTCCTAGAGGTCACCTACTCCAACCCCCTTGCTCAGAGCAAGAGGAACCAGTCAACGACACCACCCCAGTCTGCTTAAGGAGTGCACACCTTTAAAAAATGTTTTTAAATTATTGAAAAAATCTTTTACAGGAGAAATTATTGTGGGCTGTGCCTTTAAGAAAGGGGTGAAGCACCCAAAAGTCCCACTGTGGCTACGGGCCCGCAGTGCTTCCCCATTAAGAAATTTCTTTTGCAGGTTCAGAATCTTCCCCCAATGGCAAAACAAGGATAGTGATCTATCTGTCCCTGGCTCAACAAGGGGAGGTACAAAAGAAATTTTCTGTCTGTTTTTCTTTATTCTGCCTTTCCTCTGGGGTACGCAAACC